TGGTCATTGTCCAACTCTCTGATGCATAACAAGTGATTGCGAAGACCATGGCCTGTACCAGACGCACCTTAGTCTCCAGAGAGACACCATTGCTCTTCAATACTTTGGAGAAAAAGTATTTGCAATGAATAAATCATTGTAAATACAAAATTTAACCATTTTATTTCCAGCTTCATTTCTATCATCAGGCCCACGTTTTCCAACTACTCTTCCTTCTTCATTGTTTCCTAATTTTGCATTCCAATCACCAATTATCATTGTCACCTCCTGATTGCATGCTTGGTCCATTTCATACTGCAAAATTTGGTAAAAATTCTCAATTTCTTCTATTTGGCACTTGAAGTAGGAGCATATACTTGAAAAATAGTCATGCTAAGGGGTCTTTCTTGTATGAATATGTATATTATCCTTTCACTCATAATGGTATATTTCAGGATAGAACTTGAAATTGATTTTTTTTTACCATGAATGCAACACCATTCTTCTGTTTTTCATTCCCTGCATAGTATACCAAAGTGGCCATACCTGGTACATCGCCTCTCACTAATGCCTACTAGGTCAGTATTCATGTGTTCCTTTTCATTTTTAACAATTTCCAGTTTTCCAACATTAAAGCTATGTACATTCCATGTACCAATTGTTAAACAATGCTTGTAATTGATTTTCCTCATTTCAACTGTCTTCCATTCTGGGATCTATCACCACACAGCTAAAACTAGGCATCAGGGAATGCAGTCATCAGTATGGACTGCATATCAATATAAAAAAACCCAAAGATTCTTATCACTGGTTCATAGGCAGTGTCCTAATGAATGGAGACTGAAACTGTCAACAGCTTCATCTTGCTTGGATCCACAATTAACACCCTTGGTCAGTCAGGAAATAAGGAGACACATTGCACTGACGAAATCTGCAGTTAGGAACCTTTCCAAATTATTGAGGAGCAGTGATATCAGTTTGACGACTAAGGTGTATCTGATTCAAGCCATAGTTTTTTGTTTTTTGTTTTTTTTTATTATTACTATCTACGCAACTGAAACCTGGACAATGACAGGAAAAAAAACGATGACAAGAAAAAAAAATTGGTATGTTTGAGCTGTGGTGTTGGAGAAGAGCACTGAACATCCTATGGCCAACAGAACAAAAAGGTATGTTTTGAATAGGGTGCAGCTGGAGTGTTCTTTGGAGGCAGGGATGATGAGGCTTCACCTCATATACTTTGGACATATTGCTAGGAGGTACTATTCTTCCGTGAGGGACATGATATTGGGAGAAGTGGAGGGTAGGAGAGGGAGAGGAAGACCCTCAATCAGATGGATTGACACTAGGACTGCTGCAATGGACTCTTGGGTGTCAGGAAGTGTGAGGATGGTGCAGGATAGGATTGGATTTAGATCTTTTGCTCATAGGATCGCTATGAGTCATACTTGACTCGATGGCACCTAACAACAACAAAATTAGAACTTTAGGAAAGTTAATAGTATTGTGACATCAATAACATAATTGTTTATTAAGGAAAAACATTACCACAAAATAATTTAAATTCCCTGAACTGTTTAACTACTTACAATTACTTCATTTATTTTTACATCATACAGATGTTTTTGTATGCTTTCAGCAATGCAATAACTTAAAGTTTTTTAGTGTCATCAACATATGTGTGTAGTTTGTAAGACAGTATGGAAAGTAAGGCAGATACCATCCAATTATGTTTGGGAAAGTGGAAGGTTAGGGAAAGAGAGGAAGATCCAAACCAGATGGACTGATGCACTGACTGCAGAAATGGGCTGAAGTAGGTCAGAGAAGATGAGGATAGGACCGAGTTCAGATCTGGTGTTCATAGGGACGTTCGTTGTAAATGTACTTGACCAGATAGCACCTAACAACAACAAAACAACATCTCAGGAAATTTTCCATAAATGTAGTAAAATAGAAAATATAAAGAGAAATTAGCTCAAAATAAAAATTAAGTAGAATCAGTAACTTTGATTTTATGAGTTATGCTATTTATATCCTTAGGTTTCATAACTCTAAAAACAGAATTCTGATGACACTTTACAAATTATAAAATTAGGTTAGATATTAAGTCATATGTTTGGTATCACTGTTGTTGTTATTAGGTACTCTCAAGTTAATTCTAACTTAAAGATACAGTATGTAATATGGAACAACACTCTTTCTGGTCCTGTGACACTCTAACAATCACTGCTGAGCTTGAGTCCTTTGTTGCAGCCAGTGGGTCAAACTATCTCACTGAAGGTCTTTCTAATTAACTCTTTGCCCAATGGTGCATAATGACTTTCTTCAGGCAGTTGGTCTTCTTGATAGTATGACACACATATGTGATGTGTGCATTGTGTTATGTGCTATCAAGTAGGAACCACCTTATAGCTCACTCTCCAGTAGTTTTGCAAAATTTCTTATGAGAGGAAACTGACCATCCTTTCTAATGGAGAAGTTTTGGGGTTGGCAGTACAATTCTTTCCAATTAGGCCACGAAAGCTCCAAAAGTAGGTGATAAGGACAAATCATGTTGAAAGAAAATTCAAGATAATTGTGATGCCAAAGTGTGCTTTCCTTTTCTGCATCCTGCTTCTTATGTTGTATAATGTTATGCCCTCAAAAAAAACTAGATTAATATTTAACACACTAATTTTCTACCTTGACAGTCAATGGCATAACGTATCATATGAATGAACATGATGGCCATTGCTCAGAATCACACTGATTTCATACTCTTGGGACTCATCATCCATCCTATGTTCCCTGGGCTTATCTTTGCTGTGGTGCTCTCCATCTTTGTGGTAGCTGTAACATCCAATCTGGTTATGATTCTACTCATTCACGTGGACTCTCACCTCCACACACCCATGTACTTTTTGCTTAGTCAACTATCTATCATGGACACTGCCTACATCTCCATCATTGTCCCTAAGATGCTGCAAAACCTTCTATCCAAGGAAAAGACCATCTCCTTCAAGGGATGCGCTGTTCAGATCTATCTCTACACGACTCTGGTAGGAGGAGAGTTCTTTCTCCTAGGTCTCATGGCCTATGACCGATATGTAGCTGTGTGTAATCCTCTCAGGTACTCTCTCCTCATGAACCGCAGGATTTGCTTGTTTATGGCAGTAGGCTCATGGATTGGAGGTTCCTTGGATGGATTTATTTTGACTCCTGTCACCATGGGATTTCCATACTGTGGGTCCAGAGAAATCAATCACTTTTTCTGTGAGATTCCTGCTGTGTTGAAGTTGTCATGTGAAGACACTTCACTCTATGAGACCCTTATGTATGCCTGCTGTGTGCTGATGGTGCTCATTCCTATATCCCTCATCTCGGTCTCCTACACACGGATTCTGATTACTGTCCACCGGATGAATTCTGCTGAGAGCAGGCGCAAAGCCTTTGCTACCTGCTCTTCCCATATTATGGTGGTGAGCATTTTCTATGGAGCAGCTTTCTACACCAATGTGATTCCCCAGTCCTACCACACACCAGAGAAAGACAAAGTTGTATCTGCCTTCTACACCATCCTCACTCCCATGCTCAATCCACTTATCTACAGTTTAAGAAATAAAGATGTGGCAGTAGCTCTACGAAAACTTCTAGGAAGATACGTTTCCACACATAGGATCTGGGTTGGCAAATGAGATAGATCTACGAAACACTACAAAGTCCAGATGGAAAAATGATGTTGCAACTAAACATAGAGAAAATATATTCCTGATGATGCTGAAAAATTGCCAGTATAATTTGAACAATCTTGAGATATCAAAAGGCAAAATCATTTTCTTCTAATGTCATCTAAAAATGATAGGTGAAGACTGAGAATATATTAATATTAATAAAAAATTTCTTATGTTCACGGGTTTGCATTTAACATCCCCTGTTTCTAAACCATCCTGTTAAGTTCATTCACCTTTATTTAGTTATCTGAATTCAAATGTAATACGTTACACATGTTGAGGTTGGTTTTACTTTTGTTGACCACTTTTAAATGGAAAATTTCAAGAGTCACTCATCATAACTTAGATAATCTAACTTAAACTTTTTGCACAAGCATGACATTGTTTGGGATAATAGTATAGGTTTTTAAAAAAGTGTTTATGACTATGTGATTGCTGTTAAGTTCTTTTGTTTGTTTGTTTTTTCCCAAGGATCAGCTTTAATAGCATATCCTGAATATGTGAGATAATGTTTACTTTCCTTGCCTCTAAGAAACACCTTGATTGTACTTCATCAAGACAGATTTGTTTGTCCTATTGGCAACCTATGGCATATTTAATACTACATTTCAGAGGTGTCATTTCTTCTTCCGTCATGCTTATAAGCACTCCAACTTTCAGAAGCACACAAAATAAGTGTCTCCTAGGAGGCAAGGATTTTTTAACCTCCATATCACATACTTTGGGCATACTGGTAAAGAGGAACTGATCCTTGGAGAAGGATATCATGATTAGAACAGTGAAGGGACAGTACAGGAGAGGAAGATCCAGGAAGAGATGTATTGAAATGATAATTGGGGCAATGGGATAATGTGTGTCTGACTCAGTTAACCTGGCTCAGGATGATAGGGCAGGTTTGAAAAGATGTTATACATCAGATCACTATGGATCACAGACAATTTGGTGACGCATAAGAACAACAGTATAATGGATATTTATACCACTGGTTGAGCATCATGAAAATTTAAGAGAAATAATGTCACACCCATTGTCAAAAAAGAATATTTGAAGATCTTCTGAAGTATAAAGCTATGAGTGATATAATATTACACATACACATACAAGAACAATTTGTTAATACAACTATTATTCAAATATATACACAAACTACCAAAGACAAGTATGAAGAAAGTGAGAATTTATACTGACATTTAGAGTCTGAAGTTGTTGGAACACACAATGAAAATGTATTAATAACAAATGTAGTTGGAAACAAAGAAGAAATGATAATATGGCTATGGTAACAGAAATAAGATTGAAGATCATATGATAGAATTTTGTTCACAAGGAATTATTTCTTTATTGTAAATACTTTTTTATAAAAACATAAAAGCAAAGACATAGAAACAAGGACCTTACCTACTGATAGATTACAGTTGAATCAGATTGATCACATCTTTGGAAAGAGATGATGGAGAATCTCTGTATCAATCGTCAAAAAAAGGCCTGGGGCTGATTGGGGAGCAGATCATCCCCTACGTACATGTAAATTAAAATTAAAACTGAAAAAAAATTAAAACAAGTATAGGAGAGCAAAATAAGACCTCGAGTCTATGTCACATAAAAAACCAACAAAACCCTCAACCCCTCCCCCCCCAAAAAAACCCAACAAGCAAATATATCAAGGATGGATTTGATGCATTGAACACTAACTACGAGAGACTAAGTGAGTTGTAGTATAATATCAAGATAAAAGCATAAAATTCATGAAAAATCAAAAGGTCATTACAAAGACCGGAAAGAAAGAAAAGACAAAAATTAATGTCAAATATACTCTGGAACTAGCATTACAATGTAATAAAGCCAAAACAAAGAGATAAAATACTGAAATAAGAAAGATGAACAGAAGATTTCAAAGGATAGTTCAAAGAGCTAAAGTCTTATATTGAAATATGTAAAGAATTGGTATCAGAAAACCAAAATGAAGAATATACTCAACATTTCTCAATCTTAAAGACACGAAGAACAAATTCAGACCTTAAGTTGTAGGGCTGAAGGATTCTATGAAGAAAATACTGACAATTGCAGTATTTTCTACATGACTATATGCAGGAAACATCAAATGAAAATGAGAGAAATATACAAAATACTAAAAAGAACTGTACAGCACTGAACCACTTCAGGAAGTAGCATAAGATTATGACCAAATAGTACTGAATGAATAAATTCAATTTTCACTAATGGCATTAGAAAGAAAAAAAAAAAAGCTCTAGGTATACATGGGATGTCAATGGGGGTGTTTACAACAAACAGATGCAGCCCTGGTAATGCTCACTAGTTTATGAGTATAGTTAGACTACATTTTGGATTCAGTACACTTAGTAAATATACAAAATATCTTTATTCCTTAACCACTTAATCTAAAGTTTGTATAATTATCATGCCTTTATTTAATATACTTTGTTGATTGATTATAAATTGATTTATGTCATTAAGCACAGTGTTGTTGAGAGGCAAAGCCAAAAACCAACTTATAAATGACCCTCCAGTGGCTTTTCAGAGGCAGTAAAATGCATGAAAGGAAATTATCTGTATTTCTTCCAAAGACTAGCTTGTGTATTTGCACCAAATACCATTGGATTGGCAATAGTTCCTTACCACTAAGCCACTAAGCTCCCTTTAAGAACATGACATTGTTGAAATTCTCCAATGACTCACTTATGTCTTGATCTGGAAATAATACATAAGATTAAATGATAAATTAAGACACTTCATTAATAAATTATCTCGCTTGGATTAAGTGTTAAATTACTTTATTCTCATATTCTTCAGTTGATATAAGGTTGAAAAAGATTTCCCTATTAAACTAGCTGGAATGAGGTATAATCTTTTGGTAGCAACAAAGAACTAAGAGGCAAATGCTAAACTACTAAATAAAAATTATATTGAACCTTCCACTAGCCATTCAGTCAGGTTTTTTTTCTATGTGAATAAATTTCTGAAATATCAATAAAACAGAAGTTTTGTTTCACTTTGGGTGTTTTTGCATTGGTTTTGTTGTTGTGTGTGTGGTTTTTTTTCCTGTCAATGAGAGGCTTAGAAAAGAAACATTATGGATTCTTTAAGTGGTTATTGTTAAAGTGAGAATTAGCCAGAGGTAAGTAGAGATGGAATGGAGTAATAAGGTCCCATATCTGTTGAGTCCACTCTCTGTGAGCAAGCTAATTAATTTTTTAGGCAAATGAATGATGTTGGAAGCAAGAGACTGGAAATGTTCACTACAAAAGTAGACCTTTTGCTTGAAGCAAGTTGACTTTCCATAAAATAAGGGTGAAATTTAGAAAACAGAGAGAATGGTGACAACATTTAAGGAATGTAATCAACATCACTGAAGCGTACAAAACATGTAGAAATTGTGAGGTGACATTTATTTGAATATGTTTTGAAATAATAAATCCCGAAGAGGAAATTAAGCACAGTGAAGAGAGCATGTATGACAGTATCACAGTTCTCCAGCCTACTCTCTGTTGTTGTTATGTGCCTTCAAGTCACTTGCAACTAATGGCAATACGATGTACAAGAGCCCTTAATCCTGCTCTATCCTGTGCCAACCTCACTGTCTGACACGCCTACTTCCATCACCCCAATTAATAAATCAGTCCATCTTATTGAGGGTCTTTCTCTCCTGTGCCTTCCCTCTAGTCTCCCAAACATGATGTCCCTCTCCAAGGACTGGTCCCTCCTTGCAGCATGCCCAAAATATTTCAGACGAAGCTACTGAATCTTTGCCTCCAAGGAGCAGCAGGACTTCACCCTGAACTGTTTGTTCTCCTAGAAGTCCATGGTACATTCAACACTCTTCTCCAGCACCACAGCTCAAAGGCA